GCTAATAATCGCCGACAGTTTTCATATAGAAGCGATGCTGTCAGAGATTTCTGTGGGTCAGGAAATCGAGTCTCAAGATTCAGTTCATCACAATCTGTGATGTGAAAACGTAGCGTAACGTTAGCTCTCTGTCTCGTAGCGTAACACTAGCTCTCCGAGTGGAGGGAACTAGAAATATCTCCTTCTTCCTGGAGTAGTGAGGAGTGATTCCATCGTGAGGCTTCGTGGGAGACGATCTGGCCCTGAATTAACACCATCATCCCTGCTCTGCTACAGGACAAACTCTCCCAGCTCACTGTGCCTGACTCCACCTGCAGGTGGATCACAGACTTCCTGTCTGACAGGAAACAGCACGTGAAGCTGGGGAAAACTGTCTCTGACTCCCCAGACCATCAGCACCGGATCCCCTCAGGGCTCTACTCTTCTCCCTGTACACCAACAGCTGCACCTCCAGTCACCAGTCCGTCAGGCTCCTGAAGTTCGCAGATGACACCTCCCTCATTGGGCTCATCTCTGGTGGAGATGAGTCAGATGGGAGATTGACCATCTGGTGACCTGGTGCAGCCAGAACAACCTGGAGCTAAACGCTCTAAAAACAGTGGACATGGTTGTGGACTTTAGGAAGAACCCAGCCCCACCCGCCTCTATCATCCTGTGTGACTCCCCAGTTGACTCTGTGGAGTCCTTCCACTTTCTGGGTGGCATCATCACGCAGGACCTCAAGTGGGAGCTGAACATCAGGACTAAAACGTCTCGCCATAAAAACAGTTTCTTCCCGTCTGCAGCCGGCCTCCTTAACAAGGCCTGGATTACCCACTGTCACTGACTCTTATACCCACCCTGTATATAAAGTATGCATTACATTAATGCACCCATGTTCTTCTGCACAGCTTTCTCTTTCTCTTCTTATCTTTATCTATTTATTTTTTTAAAGTACTTTATTTTTCTGTGTGATTTTTGTGTGATTTGAATAATTGTATATTTGTATATTTGTATTTGTATATGTGTATATTTTGTGCACCAACTGCACCAGGTCACATTCCTCGTAGGCGTAAAAACCTACTTGGCAATAAACAAAATTCTGATTCTGATTCTGATCTGAATGTCCGATGCTTTCCCCCTGTAGGGTGGCACCAGGAGAGCTGCAGTCAGACAGACCTTGAGAGAAGAGGAGCAGACGTTATTCACTGTCGTCCTCCTTCGTCTACCTTCCTCTCTGATGAAAGCACAGAGAGGTATGGACCAAGGTTTTGTCTCCCTGTCCGTCCATCACAGTGACAGTTGGACTTAAGAGGTTGAGAGTTTCGGGCTCCTGACTCAATCAGTCTGCCTCTAGTTAAAAAAAAAATAAAAAAACAAAGTTGTTAGTCCGTCGTTGCTTCTGACATCTCACGCCCAAACAAATCTGTCGGTGCTCCGACGGCGGAGGTTTGTTATCAGACAGCGGCAACCTGAATTCAACATATCACACATATAACAAATAACGTCATGTGACTTCTTTATGGTTTTATTGGGATTCCTTCTGAGGAAAGTCCACTATTTCTGTCCATAACAAGATCTCTTTGCATGCAGCCCGGTTCAAGATGACGTCTTCAGTCATTTAAACAGTTTGGGTGCTTATTGTGACTGTTTATCTCAGTGGTTCCCAACCTGAGGGTCGGGACCCACACTAGGGGTCGCCAAAGCTGGAAAACAAAAAAAATATACACAGTTGGCTTAAAAAGAACTCAATCCAGAATGTTTTTTAACTTACAAAATTGAGTTTGTGTAACTTAAAATATTCAATATAAACAGCTTCAGCAGAGTTAAAATAACTTCTCTCATTACAGTGAATTATTTAATATCTGAACTCTGATGAACTGAACACAAACTGTATTAGAACAATGGCATCAAGCATCAGGGAGAATAAAAAGAACAAAAAGGTTACTCGTGCTTGGAGAGCGAGCGAGTGAGATGTAACTCCACCACTAGATGGCACTAAACCCTTCACACTGGACCTTTAAGAATTACTGATCAGAAAAATCGGAGCCGGTGGATCAGAATTCAATTCAATTCAATTTCAATTCAATTTTATTTGTATAGCGCCAATTCATAACAGAAGTTATCTCAGGACACTTTTCAAATAGAGCAGGTCTAGACCGAACTCTTTAACATTAATTACAGAGACCCAACAGTACCACCATGAGCAAGACCTTGGAGACAAGGGCAAGGAAACACTGCCTGTTAAAAGGCAGAAACCTAGGACAGATCCTCCGGCTCTAGGTGGGTGAGAGAGAGAGAGAGAGAGAGAGAGGAAGCAAACACCGACTCGTTCACCGTCTGCTGTGTGTGTGAGTGACGCCGCCGTTACCATAGTAACTACCGGTTCTCTGCTTCCTGTCTGCATCCGACAGATATTGATCCCGATCGATATTTATCAGGCATCTTTGACCTCTATGACCTCACGGCGGCGAGTCGCTTTTGATCTGGTCTGAGTGAACGAATAGGATCAACGTCACCCACAGGGTCCATCGTAGTTCTGGAGCTGTGTCAGATGATGAGTTTATCTGAGGAAATAAAACCCGGAGCAACGATCTCTCGACGTCCCTCGTTAAGTCTTGAGCCGTCAGTCACCGTCCAGCGTCTGAGACGAAGAACGTCCGGCATCAGACTCTTTGGTCTGACGGAGGGTTGCCAGGTTTGACTGGTTCAGAGGTTTTTATATCCTGCTGCCTGTGAAAGTAATTACCGGCTGGATTACTATTTGTGCTCCAACACACACTCCTGGACCCATTCATCACACTCACACTCACACACACACACACACACACACACACCTTTAATTTCCATATGCAGACAGACATACAGCCCAACGCTCTCTGCTCCACTATTTGTTCTCCCTGTTTTAGTCCTTTAGGGAGGCAATTATTTCACACACACACAAACAAAATATCTGGAATACACACAACACAGTCACTGCTGTGTGTGTGTGTGTGTGTGTCGGCTGCATTTACGTGTGAACATCAAAGCGGCTTCTTCTTTTTTTTCTCTTTCAGTCTAAACACACACAGAGACCATCTGAGGACAGATCTGTAGAGCGGCTCTCCTCAGCTGAACCTATAGCATGACTCTCACACACACACACACACACACACACACACACACACACACACACACACACACACACACACACACACACACGCAGCTATCCTATATTCAGAAGCCTCTGACAGTCACCCATCGGTTTGTGGAGTCCCGTTTTGAAGCCAGTTCGGCGTTTTGGTTGTCGCCATGCCCTGCCGAGCCAGCAGAGGTCACATAAAGCGAGTTGAGCTGCTCTCATTGGCTGCTCTCCTGCTCACACAGGATCTGGTATTCCAGATAAACAGTTAATGTGGTTGTGAACAGATTGGAGGAGAGAAACAGTCAACAACAGAATCTGGATCCATATCTGATCAGCACTGTTTGACAGTTTGATCTGAGTTTGGTTGAGCTGGACGGACTCACTGAGAATGAGCTGTCAATCACAAGGTAGCCCCGCCCTAAAGCATACCCTGCTTTATGGTCTGTTTTACTCTAAATGGGACCATCAGTTACTAAATGAACATCATGCTGTATGGAAGAAGACTGAAACTAGAGACTGAGACCAGAAACTCATCAGGAAACTGTTTACTGAGCTCATTGATCTCCATAAGACTCCATACTATCAGAGTGTTAGTGCCCCCTGCTGGCTGTTAGAGACACTGCAGCTTTAACACACTGTCCACTAAACCCAAACAGTGAACTCAATCACTGCAGGAAGTTTGATTATTTCCTGATATATTGATCAGAGAGGAGTTCTCCTGATATATTGATTCATTCTCTGTCTGTATATTTTTATGTTTAACAATCAGACTTAATATTCTTCTTTCTGACAGATTCAGTTTTCTTCTCCCTGATGTTTGCTCTGTTCTTCTGTTAGCTCTTTGTCGTTTTAACTGCGTACTTTAAACTTTCTTACACACCTTTGCCCTCTGAGCATCAAACTCGTGAGGACGTTGAACCAGAACTCCAACCAGCACAGGTGAACAAATCCAAAGGGGCAGAGTCGAAAAAACCCAAGTTCAGCAGACACCAGGAAAATGGTGGACAGGAAGGACACAGAAGGGACACTGTACAACTCACCAGACACAGGCTAAAATAAAGAATAAAACAGGAAGTGAGCACATGAAATGATGAATGAACAGACTCATAGTGACAGAAGGAGAGCACTGTATCAGTAATCCGACTGCTGGCCGCGCTGAGACACACAGCTGGAGGGCAGGTTTGTTTCAGGGGGTTCGTGGGGAAGCGGGTGGCGTCTGAGGACACCAGCAGCTCCTGTGTGTCACTTAAGGACAGCTCGGAGCCCCTCCCGCCACTGCTGACGCTACAGACCGAACACATGTGGCTCGGTCTCTGCAGTGTCGGTGTCCTCGTGTGAACCCACTCCCTTCTGCCGCATTTCACACACACACACACACACACACACACACACACTCGATCCAGCTCAGTCTGAGGCGTTAGTCACTGGAGAGAGAATAACGTGAACACACAGCTAACCTTTATCTAGCTGCACTCTGTGATCTGATAACACCTGAGTAATGACAGAGTGTAGAAGAGAGAGAGACGGAGGGAGGGATAAAGAGAGAGAGGGAGACAAAGACAGAGGCAGAAGGAGGAGGAACGAGGAGGAAATGTAGAACGAGCTGATTGGTTGATCCATTAAACCGTCGCAGAAGATGACGAGGTCGTTAAAAGAGCTCCAGTCAAAGGTCAGACGATGGGAACATCTCTGATGCGAGGAAGGTTTAGCTAACTGTAATGGGGGGGGGGGGTCCGACGGAGGTCAGGTGCATTACAGCGTTTATTACGGCTGTCACAGTCATTAACATTAAACTGTTCAGGAGCTGCTCCTCATCCTCTGACCGCTCTGCTCTATGCAGACAGGAAGGACAACGAGAGACAGACAGGAAGAATTACAAAATAAAACAGGAAACAACTCAAGAAAACCCAGAAGATCCTTTTATTTATGTGCCGTTGATGTAATCCACAACCAACAGAAAGTAATCCAGTTACTTTAATATCCTGATCATCGTAGTCATCAGATTAATGACAGATATAAGAATAATATTTCATCAGAGAGCTCCGACCTTCCTCTAGCAGAGTCCAGTATCTGACTGAAACCCTTCCTCCTCCTCCTCCTCCTCCTCCTCAGATTAGCAGCATTTAAAAAGCAGCGCCTCGTTCAGCGATGAATAAATGAACAGGTAACTTTAAACTCTTCGTCGGGGTCCTCAATATGTGATCAATACTAAATGATGAATTACTGAGAAGCTCATTAAAGCAGCTCATTGATTAGTGGAATGAGGCCCGAGGCTGCCGGCAGTTCACATTTAACCATGAAATGAATTTAGACTAAAGAAAACAAACAAACGAATAGATCAGTTTATCAGGATGCATCATGGGACTGGGGAGAGGTTCCACTCTGATTGGCTCATACTCGTTGCCTGCTAACTTTAGCTCAGCTTGTTTCTCTGATAACTTAAGATCCAGACGTCCGATGACTAAAATCCTTCATCAGGTTCAAATCTAGAGTTAAAAAGCACCAAGATCTAAACAGTGGATGGTAAACAGTCAGTGTGTGACAGCTTCTGATTATTGATTATTGATTGAATCAGCTCCAGATAGAACATAGCTCTAGAGTTTATACACTGATTAATGAGATGTTATTGATTATGGATTTATATTTTAACATCTGCAGGTTTAAACTGATCTTGAATCAACAGCTGTTGCATTAATAATGTAACACAAACAACCTGCTGTATTCGTCATTAGTCAGAGGAAATGAGTTTGAGATTTAATTAAGGTTAATTCATACTTCCTGTTTGTTAGTTGTTGATTATCTTGGGGCTGAAATCGTTTTATTAATTAGTTTTAATCACATTTCTTCCTGCAGTTTCTGTTCTTGAGTCTAACTGACGAGAAAGGAAACAACCAACGAGGTTTTCATCACATTATTCATAAAAAAACAACCTCAGAATCACTTCATGTTTTTGTGAGGACCGCCGCCATCGGACACGCCTTTACGGCTCCGTGATCCACTGAGATCTTTCTGTCCGATGTTGTTTACTTGTGTATTTTGTCCTTAAACACACAGTATTTTACTTTGAAAATGTACCTTTCTCTGTGTCTGGCTTCCTGTTAGTGTGATCTGCTCTGTGCTGTTGGATGTGGGGGGGTCGGAGCGGAGAGAGGCAGCTTACAGGAGCAGTGTGTAGGATTTAGTGCCATCTAGTGGTGAAGTTGAGTTCAGTGATTGATTGGACTTATATTCATAATCACATTCACGATGTTATTGGCTGATTCATTATTATTTTTTGTTCCTCGTCAGAGCTGATCGGTGGTGGCGGCCATCGATCTGGGGCGGGTCTCCTGCAGGACTCTCTCCTCCAATCGGGCGTAGCGCTTCAGCATGCGGCCGTACACCTGAACACACAGAAAGAAATCACCAGCTGCTGTCTGTCTGACTGTCTGTCTGCCTGCTAACTGCTAACAGCTAACTGATTTAGGGCGGGGCTTCAGTCCGTCCAGCTCAATAAAACAGAAAATATACTACAAACACCCAAAATACCCCAAAAAACACAAAAAGTAAAAATGCATAAAAAAACATCCCTAAAAGGAATGACAACATTTTAAAAATGCTATTACATAAGGCATTACGATTACATCATAATATGTTCAAACATTCACATCGGGGATAAAGCGTAAAGTTAGGAGTGTTTTTAAAGTATTTTTAACGTTTATATCCCAGCGCTGTGAGGAACGCCGCAGACACTTCCTCTCCCGTTATGTTGCTGCTTCATATTTAATATCCCGCTGTACAGAGAGAGAATATTCATCCACCAGCATGTAATCAGTGTGTGTGTGTGTGTGTGTGTGTGTGTGTGTGCGTGTGTGTGCTAGGTGTTTCAGCAGAGCTCGTTATGTATTTATGAGCTGTGCTGTTTAATTATGGAAGACGAACATGAGAGAACATCACTTCAGTAAACAGACAACTACATTAGAATAACATGGACCCCTGCAGTGTGTGTGTGTGTGTGTGTGTGTGTGTGTGTGTGTGTGTGTGTGTGTGTGTGTGTGTGTGTGTGTACCTCCTGTGCTGTAGGATGGGGGGTGGCGACCAGTTGTGGATCCGGCGCTTTCTTCACCACATCACAGAAGGAAACTCCGGATTCTGCAGCGAGGCCTGAAAACACACATTGACCAATCAGAGGACTCGGTTTCTGCATCATCGACCAATCAGTGGGTCGTCTACAACCAATCAACTGATCACTTCCTGCATTAACCAGCGAGTTATGAGGGGTTACTGTTGGTTACGGGTCCTGAATTAACCAGATGAGACATTTTTAGCTGCTGGGACAAAGCCCCTGCTGGTTTCTAGAGTCCTCTTTGTCCCACTTTAGAAGTTCTAGTCCAACATTTGGTTCCTGCTCTGGGAGCAGCTGACCTCACACACTGATTATTGATTAGTTATTGTCTATATGTTTGATCCCGAGGGTTAACGTCCCCTCCAGCAGACAGACAGGTTGCTATCAGCAGGGTGAGGACTGCAGCACTTATGAATGCATGAGGAGGATTTCTGTGCATTCAGCTCTGTTGCAGGAGTTCAACCCCCCCCTGAATGAATCAGCACTGGTTAATAACACCAGGAGGATTACATTATGTCTTTTCAAGCCCACGCAGTTGAAAGCAGCTCTGGTTAAAGACGCTCTCTCTCTACATATTTGATGTCTGTCACACGAGGAATCATCGGCGGCTGAGGGTGCTCGCTGTCTCGCTGTCTCACTGTCTCGCTGTCTCACTGTCTCGCTGTCTCACTGTCTCACTGTCTCGCTGTCTCGCCCGCTCTCTTTCATGTGGAGAGTCTGGGAAATCTTTCTCATCTGGTCGTATGAAGATCCCCTCAGCGGAGACGCGAGGCGATGAATGAGAAGTCGGACGGTGCTCCGTTTATCTCTCTTTGTCTAATGTTACCTTCTTTTCTTCTTTCTACTATCACTCTCTACCAGGGACCTTTCAAAATAAAAGCTTGTGTGTGTGTGTGTGTGTGTGTGTGTGTGTGTGTGTGTGTGTGTGTGTGTGTGTGTGTGTGTGTGTGTGTGTGTGTGTGTGTTACCGTGCAGAGCTCTGTAGGCCGACCCCAGACAGGCGGAGTTGGACAGATCGATGGTGTAAACCGGAGCGTTAAACACATCTGATAACACCTGAGAGAGAGAGAGAGAGAGAGAGAGAGAGAGAGAGAGAGAGAGAGAGAGAGAGAGAAAGAAAGAGAGAGAGAGAGAGAGAGAGAGAGAGAGAGAGAGAGAGAGAGAGAAAGAAAGAAAGAAAGAGAGAGAGAGAGAGAGAGAGAGACACACACACATGAAAATGATTGACACACTGCATTTATTCATTACATAATAATAATAATAATAACTGTTATTAACAGAGATGAATATAATACACAGATATAAACCTACTGTGTGTATTTTTAAAGTGTTTCTTACATCCCATAAAATCAAGAACCTGGTGAAGCTTTGGCGACCCCTAGTGGGGGTCCCGATCCCCAGGCTGGGAACCACTGGTATAATTAAATAAAAAGTGAAGGTAGGTTGTTACACACTGATTGGTCCGATTGGACTCACAGTGATTGGTTGAAGTAAGTAAAGTTTTATTTCTATAGCACTGTTTTAACACAGAGATCCAAAGTGCTTTACAAACAACAAACAGAGAGAGCATGTAAATACAAACAAAGGAAGATAAAACAAGAGGGAAGGATAAATTAAAAGAGAGACAACAGATGAGAAAACAACAGGAGATCTATAAAAGGTCTGTAGAGGATTGAAACCACAGATTGAGTGAATCTGAGTGATTGAGGAAGACTGTTCCACAATGTTGGAGCTAAAACAGCGAAGGTCTCCTTTAATGGTGCAGTCAGAGCGGGGGATGGATAAAAGAGAACTGAGGAGTAGAATGAGGAACGAGGAGATCTGCAATGTAACTGAAGAGCCTCATATTCAATCAGTAACATCTTATAGTGGATTCTGAGTTCTACAGGAAGCCAATGAAGGGATGTGAGAACAGGAGTAATGTGGAACCGACAGCTGGTTCTGGTTCTGGTTCAAAGTCTGACTGCCCGTTCTGGTACTGGTTCAAAGTCTGATGGCTGGTTCTGATTCTGGTTCTGGTGCAAAGTCTGACGGCTGGTTCTGGTTCTGGTTCAAAGTCTGACGGCTGGTTCTGGTTCTGGTTCAAAGTCTGACTGCCCGTTCTGGTTCTGGTTCAAAGTCTCACTGCTGGTTCTGGTTCAAAGTCTGACGGCTGGTTCTGATTCTGGTTCTGGTTAAAAATCTGACGGCTGGTTCTGGTTCTGGTGCAAAGTCTGACGGCTGGTTCTGGTTCTGGTTCAAAGTCTGACTGCCCGTTCTGGTTCTGGTTCAAAATCTGACAACTGGTTCTGGTGCAAAGTCTGACGGCTGGTTCTGGTTCTGGTTCAAAGTCTGACTGCCCGTTCTGGTTCTGGTTTAAAGTCGCACTGCTGGTTCTGGTTCAAAGTCTGACGGCTGGTTCTGATTCTGGTTCTGGTTAAAAATCTGACGGCTGGTTCTGGTTCTGGTTCTGGTGCAAAGTCTGACGGCTGGTTCTGGTTCTGGTTCAAAGTCTGACTGCCCGTTCTGGTTCTGGTTCAAAATCTGACAACTGGTTCTGGTGCAAAGTCTGACGGCTGGTTCTGGTTCTGGTTCTGGTGCAAAGTCTGACGGCTGGTTGTGGTTCTGGTTCAAAATCTGATGGCTGGTTCTGATTCAAAGTCGGGCAGCTGGTTCTGGTTCTGGTTCTAAGTCTGACTGCTGGTTCTGGTTCAAAGTCTGACGGCTGGTTCTGGTTCTGGTTCAAAATCTGAAGTCTGGCGGCTGGTTCTGATTCTGGTTCAAGTCTGACAGCTGGTTCTGGTTTGGTTCTGGTTCAAAGTCTATGTTCTATTAGTTATATGAGTTATATTATTTATATTAGTTATATTATTAATATTATTTATATTAGTTATATGAATTATATTAGTAATATTAGTTATGAGTTATATTAGTTAAATTATTAATATTAGTTATATTAGTTATATGAATTATATTAGTAATATTGGTTATATTAGTAATATTAGTAATATTAGTTATGAGTTATATGAGTTATATGAGTTATATTAGTAATATTAGTTATATTATTAATATTAGTTATATGAGTTATATTATTAATATTAGTTATATGAGTTATATTATTAATATTAGTTATATGAGTTATATTATTAATATTAGTTATATTAGTAATATTAGTTATATGAATTATATTAGTAATATTAGTTATATTAGTAATATTAGTTATGAGTTATATTAGTTATATTAGTTAAATTATTAATATTAGTTATATGAGTTATATGAATTATATTAGTTATATTAGTAATATTAGTAATATTAGTTATGAGTTATATGAGTTATATTAGTAATATTAGTTATGAGTTATATTAGTTATATTAAATTATTAATATTAGTTATATTAGTTATATTATTAATATTAGTTATATGAGTTATATTATTAATATTAGTTATATGAGTTATATTACTAGTATTAGTTATATTAGTAATATTAGTTATATGAGTTATATTAGTAATATTAGTTATATTAGTTATATTAGTTATATTAGTTATATTAGTAATATTAGTTATATGAGTTATATTACTAGTATTAGTTATATTAGTTATATTAGTAATATTAGTTATATGAGTTATATTACTAGTATTAGTTATATTAGTTATATTAGTAATATTAGTTATATGAGTTATATTAGTAATATTAGTTATATTAGTTATATTAGTTATATGAGTTATATTATTAATATTAGTTATATGAGTTATATTAGTAATATTAGTTATATTAGTAATATTAGTGCTGTTGAGCAGACAGGAGAGGAGGATGAACTCACCTGCAGGATCTCTTTATTAGACGAAGCTCCTCCCGTCGCCAACACTCTGGTTCCTGGAACTGAACAACCCAGAGACTCATCAGCCGAGACCAACGACCCCGAGAGCGGCGTTATTTACCCCCTCCAATGAATCACACTTTTATTTCTGTTTCCTGTTTACTCTACAGATTTCTTCTATATTCTTTAAATACATGGAAACATTTATATGTTCAATGTAAAATAATTAAAATCTGTAACTGTAAAGAATAAAGATTAAAATACATTTACAAATCTATCATTTAGTCACAGATATTTACTGTTTATTTAATAAATTAAACTGTTAGATTCTGGTTTAATAATGTTAATATGTTTATAAACTGATATAAAATCAGTGACATTAACAGTAAAAGTATTAGTTGTGTAATTTTAATGTATTAGTTAGTGAACTGACAGATATGTTGTATAATGATGGAAGTTGAATAAATGTTGTTTATCAGTGTATAAGGTAAACTGTCCAAATACAGTTGTTATCAGTGTAAACAGCAATAATTACTGTAATCTCACAGATAATGACTTTTATTACACTTCTATAACTTTTAACATTCACATTAAAATAATAACAATCCAATAATAACAGCACTCTGCTGTAAATCTGATTATTGTATTATAGCAGAGTTCACCTGGATTTATTGATCACTGCATTGGTTAATCATAGAAATAAGGGGAGGGGCTCTTACTGATGGAGTATCCCAACCTCTCAGCGTGGAGCCTCCTGGACAGAAACTGACCCTCAACCAGAGCTCGCACCTCCACCTGAGGACTCAGTGAGGACAACTGCAGGACAGGAAGGACAACAGAGTCAGAACTACTGTCTGTCTCTCTCTGTCTGTCTGTCTCTCTCTCTCCCTGTCTCTCTCTCTCTCTCTCTCTCTCTCTCTCTCTCTGTCTGTCTCTCTCTCTCTCTCTTTCTCTCTGTCTGTCTGTCTGTCTCTCTCTCTCTCTCTCTCTGTCTGTCTCTCTCTCTCTCTTTCTCTCTGTCTGTCTCTCTCTTTGTCTCTTTCTGTCTGTCTCTCTCTTTGTCTCTCTCTGTCTGTCTCTCTCTCTCTCTCTCTCCGTCTCTCTCTCCACTGACCTCGTTGTCGTCCGGGTCGAAGCGGTGAACTCCCACTGCAGGAGGAGTGATCTCCATTGAGTCAAAATAAAAGCCTGGAAACACAAACAGCCAATCAGAGGGAGGGCAGGAAGAGATGGGGAGAAAGAATGAGTGGACACAGGAAGGAAGGAAGGAAGGAAGGAAGGAAGGAAACTCACCCATGTTCCCGTTGTTTCCTAGCGGTGTGTCTCTCAGGGCAGCAGAAAAATTTTCCCATGATGCTCCAGCACACTCGTTCCTGATTCGTTCCCTCGTCAGAGACCCGTTCTTAAAGCTACACACACACATACACACACACACACTTTAATACACAGCCATATGTACTGTGTGTGTGTGTGTGTGTGTGTGTGTGTGTGTGTGTGTGTGTGTGTGTGTGTGTGTGTGTACCACAGCAGGGCCATGTACTGCTTCCAGTCCACAGGGTTACAGAAGATGTGACCCTCCAGTGCCGGACGAGGCTGCTGGATCCACAGAAACACTGTGTCACTGGTCCCCAGACTGACCTGCGCACACACACACACAATAATCAAACCGGGGTTTAATACTAACTCAGACGGACAGAAAAGTTTCAGATTAATGAACTCACAGCGATGTCTCCTCGCTGGAGCCTCATTCCTGCCAGAGACGCTGCCAGAGACACAAACACAGTTCAACAACAACTGTATCAGTAACTGTAACAGTATCAGTAACTGTATCAGTAACTGTAACTGTAACTCTGAGTGGGACTCTGATGTTGATAATGAGCAACCTGTGGCAGTTTCACTCAGTAACTCTGGTCCAAAAGGAACCAGGGCCTGGCTAATCCTGTACCTGGGTTGTCTCCAGTGAAGGCCACCACCCTGCAGCTCTCACAGAAACCGTATCGACGCACAAAGTAGGACGAGACCGGACCCTGCAACGACAGGAAGGAGCGTCTGAGCTGGACCAGATCAGAACAGTGTGGACCAGATCAGCCAGTGTGGTCCAGTCTTACCAGTACAGATTCTGAGGGTACTGGAGCTCCCAGCAGGCGGTCCAGATGAGGGCTGGTGGCTTCCAGGCAGATCTCAGACCAGTTTCTGGTCCTGATGTCCAACAGGTTCATCCCCGAACCTACAGTCAGTGAATCCAGTTCATCAGTCAGCAGCCTTCTTTCTATCATACCACTTTCCTACTTTCCTTCCTCCCTCTCTCTCCCTTCCATCCTTCCTTCCTTTTGGATGAATTAATACATTATTATATATTATATATAATCAATGAGCTCATAAACTGAAGATGAAGGAACAGGAACCCGTGCCGTACCGTCGCTGTAGTCGATGGCGGCGTAATCCCCGAGGAAGAGAGAGGCAGCGAAGCTGCTGACCAATGAGATCCTCTGAGAACACAAACATCATTTAATCACACTCGTCACAACGAGCCCACTCAGTGATGTAATAATAAAGTGTATGATGATATCTGTTGTATGTACGAGGCCGACCTCTGCATCCTGGTAGTCCTCCGGTCGGGTCTGTCGCACCTTGGCGATCTGGTTTCCTGTGAACCGCTACAGAGAAACACACACACGTTCTTCTGTGAGTGTGTCAGTGATTATCTGTGATTGACTGTAATTATCCTCCTGTTCTATGTACAGTAACTTCTTTTATACGCCATGGGGAGAGAAGCTGCTGATGGGGCGGTTTCACACAACATCTGATTCATGTCTGCAAACCATAAAAAAACTTTACAGAAGGAATATTATTCATATTTTATTCATTTAATATATGAAAAGTCACAAAACAGTTTGAGATGAGATCATTTTACATTTAAAATCGACCATATTATAGTTTTATTTCTCAGTGTTCTGCTGTGTTTGTGTGAAATAGTGAAACAATATTTGTTTTACAACCAAGCACCGTTCTATAATGATATTTTCAGTGATTATGACTAAATATCAATTTCATGTATTGTCAGTTCCTGACAGCTTTATTCTGTTAAATGGAAAAAATGAGAAGTCAGTGATTTAAAATAAATGCTAAATATCGAGGAAATTAACCAAAATCAACGACTCCAGAGGGGAAAAACGACTAAAGACAGGCAGACAGACAGGTGGACAGAGAGGTGGGCAGAGAGGTAGGACAAAGAGGTAGACAGGTAGACAGGAGGACAGACAGTGTGACCTCATAGGCTCTGGAGCCAGTGATCTCTGCCAGCCTGAGGGCTCCCCCTGCTGCTGCCTGCAGGTCCTGACACTGCTGACGGCTGCTGGAGTCCATCCACACAGGAGAGTCAGACACTGAGAAACTGCCCTGTGATCAACACACACACACACACACACACACACACACACACACACACACACACACACACACACACACACACACACACACACACACACACACACACACACACACACACACACACACACACACACACAGTCAGCAGGTGCAGGTTACCTGTAACAAACAGGTGATCTGGGATTCACACACCTGCAGCAGCTGGTACAGGTTCTGGTCCGGATCGAGCTGCTTTAGGGTCTCAGACGCACCTCGTCTCCAGTACACGCTGCCATGTTGCTGAGAGAGAACGACTGAGAGCATTTACACCAAACTCCATTCAATACAGGATCAATATCATCCATAAAGATACAGTGTATACTGATCAATAATCAATAAAGATACAGTGTATTCTGATCAATAATCAATAAAGATACAGTGTATTCTGAGCTCACCTGGCCGCTGCCTGACAACGCTCTGACACGGGAGAAGTCAAGCCCCGCCCTCTTCATCTTGTCCAATAGCAGGTCCAAAGCCTGATGACAGACACAGCAACCAATCACACGGCTGCCCGAGGACACAGGTGGTATAGAGGGTATGCATGTGACGTCACGGTACCCGGAAGTCGCTGCGGTTACGCCCACTGAGTGGCAAAAAGACGAGTGGCAGAACTGGCAAGATTTCAAATATTCAATTATATTCGATATTCAACATGGGGAAGAGCTGCTGTGCTTTAAAAAGGGGTCAGAGCAAAGTTTCTACAGGCTACCAAAAGCAGCAGAAAAGAGACGGCGATGGGTCGCTGCGATCCGGAGAGACAGCTGGCATCCAGGCACAGAAACCTGGACCTGCGTTTCACATTTCGTGTCAGGTAACGTTAAATGATGTAATATATTGCCAACGTTACTTCAGTAAAGCTCTTAACGTTAGTATCTTTCATATAGCTATATTCTTCACCCTGTATTCATTCATAAGCCTGGCTAACCAGGCCAAGTACCCAAAAGTCATACTTTAGTAAAAATAAAGATATGGTGTTAAAGTATTACTCTGGTAAAAGTGAAAGTCACCTAAATAAATAGTCCTTGTGTAAAAGTCTCAAAGTATCTGATGTTGGCTGTGCTTAAATATCAAGTACAAGGTAATGATTAACTTGTGTCAATACACTGTATAGGTTACTGTAAACTGACTATCAGCTTATTTTCTGCTATGATGTTTAGTTTTGGATTCTGTTTAAATCTAATGGCCGATTGAATCAATTGATATTTAAATGTGCTAATCTGGCTCTGATTCATATAGAGATCGTTATATGTATGTATTCGCTGGTACCAACCATGTATATTTGTTTGTTTCAGGGAAAAAGAGTGATGATCCCCTACCACGTGTCAGTGTAAGTGGACCAGATGGTTTTGGGGAGCTCCTATGGATCATTGTTGAGTCCAACTGACGTCCATTTGTTTTGATAATCCATTTTTATTCGGTTCTGCTGTGTCAACCGCTATCATCTTCTTCTTCTTCTTCTTCTTCATATGGATTTCTGGCAGTCTAGACGCTTCTAGGCATATTACTGCCCTCCACAGGAAGTCACTCCAAGGATATTGTTACTGCTTCAAATGTTCATATATAGCCCTTTATTGTGTAAGAACTGTAATACTACTTTAACAGTCAAGTGGTGGTTCTCATTTTGACCTAATAAAGATTTAACTGAAAATGACCGAACTCCCAAATCTGATCCTCTCTTGTATAAAATGTTCCTTTCAATTGTATATTTGTTACATTTCAATAAAACATGTTCAACTGCTTCAGAATTTCCACACTCACAAAGCCCATTAGGATGCTTTCCAATAACATATAAAGACTGATTCAACCCACAATGCCCAAGTCTCAACCTACAGATTTTAACAGAATCTCTTCTGGATCCATAACAATGCCTGACTTTTTTAACCTGAGACTGCAAAGAGTAATAATGTCTCCCCTTGGTCTCATTTTCCCATAATCTTTGCCATTCCCTTTCAATACTCTGTTAATTTTTTTCTTTTAGTTCCACTCTTCCCAATGATATGCCCAGGGACCCAGCAGAACATGACATTTCCACCAGTCTCTGTAATTATAAAGTAAACAGCTGGAATTTCATTTATGATATCAGGACAGGCTTTTGATTTACCTCCTTTCAAGGCCATCAGGGCAGCTGCAGAATCAGAGCAGATTAAGGTTTCACTTATTTGGCACCATCTGTAAAATATATCAGATATGATCCCATACCACTGCTCAGATATTGTTCCAATTTTAAGGCAATCACATGTTTATTCTTTTCTTGTAAAAAAGTTAAATCAATACCCAATTCTTGCATTAACCAATAAGGAATAGGTAATTGAATTGTGTAGAGTCACCTATTTTCCTGCTCCATTCTCAATTTCCTTGTCCACTGATTTATACATTCAAAAAATGTTTTATTTCTTATCTTTCTATAAGAATCCAGTGTCCCTTGCATAAGACACCTTGCTGGGAATGCTAAATTAGATCCACTCAGTTTTACCCAATACTGCATTCCCAACTTAACACGACTTAAACATAAGGGCATGTCACCCATTTCAATGAGCAGAGCTGGAATTGAAGATGTCCTGAAAGCTCCACAACAGAGTCTCAATGCCTTAGCCTGCAGAGTGTCTAACTTCCTTAACATCGACTGGGCCACAGAACCATAAACAAAGCACCCATAATCAATTGAAGATCTTATCATTGCCTGATATACTAAATGCATGGACCCCCTCTCCGCCCCCCAGTCACAACCCACCAGACTTCTCATTATATTTAACACCTTGTCACATTTTAACAAACTAGACAGCCCAAGTCATTCGTTCTTCAAACCAGACCCCCAAAAATTTGAATTCTTTTACTCTCTCTAGGGGGGAACCATACATACATAATCCAAAATCAGGTGCCTTTCTCTTGTATCCAGTATCATAAATTTAGACTTTGCCTCTGAAACTTTCTTGGATGTTTAAATGTTATTTATAATTGTTATTTATTTATTGATTGACTGGTGCTGAGAGAGTGCCAAGGCACATTGTATTTCATTGCTGTGGTACCCTGTACTAAATATGCATATGACAATAAAACTGAACTGAACTGAACTTTAAATCCCCATTTATCTGCCCAATCCTCCACATTAACTAAAGCCTTTTGAATTTGTTTTAAAATAAACTCTGTATTTCTTACTCGTTTCCAAATAGCCCCATCATCTGCAAATAAAGACTGCCCCATCCCTCTTCCAATATTACTGAATATTTCATTTATATCATTATTATCATTAAATAAGACTGGACTTTGACACTTCCTTGAGGGGTACCATTTTCTATTCTGACACATTTTGATCTACATCCACTCACTTGCACATGTATTGTTCTATTCATTAAAAAATCTTTAATCCAATTAAACATTCTACCTCTAATTCCTAGATCAACATTTTTTATCATCAGTCCTTCCTTCCACAAACAGTCATAAGCTTTCTCAATATCTAAAAATACACTTACCACTATTTGTTTATTATTAAATGCCTTCTTGATATCTTGATCTAAAACCGCTACCGACTCCATTGTTGATCTTCCCTTTCTAAAACCATTTTGAAATTTAGTAAATAATCCTTTACTTTCTAAAAAGTAAACTAATCTATTTGTTATCATTCTTTCCATAATTTTGCAAAGCACTGATGTTAATGCTATAGGCCGATATGAGCTTGGATCACTTGCATTTTTGCCTAGTTTCAAGATAGGAATTATAACTGCATGTTTCCATTCTACTGGCAAACAACCCTCTTCCCACACAGTATTAATCAGAGCAAGAACTTCCTCAAGTACTAACTCATCCAGATGTTTAAATAGTTCATATGATAAGCCATCTCTCTCACCAGTGTCTGTACCAGAATCAATGGCATCTCTCAATTCTGTCTTAGAAAAAAACGAACTAGTTGGATTCTCATTATCAGAATTCCTGTTCATCTTCCACTGATTAACTGACAACGGATTAGTCCTTTTCACACTGCTCTCAATTCCTAAATTACCAGAGCTATGCACTGCTTGAAAAAGCTCAACAAGCATGTCTGCTTTGTCTCTGTTGGTTATTGCTTCCACCCCACCTTTCTGTAAAACTGGTATAGGTTTCCTCTTATAAACCCCTGACGTTCTATGTACTGCTGACCACAAGTGTTTTACAGGAGTTTCAGGGCCCAGTGTTTCACAAAATCTTCTCCAACTATTTCTCTTTGCATTTTTAATTACTCTTCTTGCTACTGCCCTTAATCTCTTATATTCTACTGCAAAACCCATCATTGGATACTTTCTTAATTTTCTATACGCTCGATTTCTATCCCTTACAGCTACATCACATTCTTTACTCCACCAAGGAACCAACATACGAGTTCTTGGTGTCTGCTTCTTAGGAATGATGCAAAAAGCTGCCTTATGAATGAATGAACTGAGGGATGCATTCCATACATCTACAGAGGCTTCACTGTCCACCATACCAACTAAATGTTTAGCTCTCTCCTGAAACTTATCCCATTTAGCCTGAGCAAACCTATAACCAAACCTACATAAGATTGGGTAATGGTCACTGCCCATAGTATATCTATCCAAGACATCCCATTCTCCAATTCTGGCTAAATTTGAGGAAGAAATTGATAAATCGATACAACTGCTAGTATTCCTACAATGTGGAACCTTGTTGGTCTTCCATCATTTATCACAACCAGATCATACTTGTCCAGAAAGTCTTCTACTATCTCTCCATTATAACTCTTACTATCATTTCCCCATAACGGGTTATGGGCATTAAAATCCCCCACCCATATAACAGGACCTCTCATACTCTCCATAATCTCATCAAATTCAAACAGTAGCAATTGTTTACAAGGATTATACAACAACAGTTATTGGACTATAAGTACTCCAAACTTCCACTGCCAAAACCTCCAGACTGGAACTCATATCAAGCCTTCTATACTGAAGACCTGATTTAATAAAAGTTGCACTACTCAAAATGATTGTATCATGGGAATATGCTGGAGCAGCTGGAGAGACTTGCTGACTGCTGTTTGCCTTTTTGTTCCCAACTCCTTGTTCTCTGTTGACTCTGTTAACTGCCTCTGCATATGAGACCTTGTGCTGTTCTCTCACTGTCTGGACCCGTTGGGCCTGAACAAAATGTTCACACCCACGAAACGATGCTGTATGATCTCCTCCACAATTACAACACTTAGGAACCTCTGCTTTACACACTTGACATTCATGATCCCCGCCACATTTCCCACATTTACGTTTAGCCGGACAAGAGCCCGCCACATGTCCAACTTCTGACAATTATAACATCGCAAGGGTGGTCTTTTATACTCCCTTACCTGGGACGCCATACTTCCAAGAAATACTTTCCCTGGCATAACATTACCTTCAAATGTAAGCAGGACTGGTGATTCCCCATTGCTCCCTTCCTTACGCTTGAACCTCATAACGTTACTCCTTGGTGTTATCATATTGTTTTTTTATCTTTATAACAAACTCTTAGCAACCCATTTGACAGTATTTGAACTTGAGCTCCCTTACCAATCTGACAATCCAAAGCAGTAGTAACTCTCAGTGGGTTTAAAGCTTTAAATCCTCTTTCTCCCTGCTTCTGATCTTTGACTCGAAACAGCACGACATACTCTTCAGAACTCATTTTCATCAACTTTTTCTCTCCAATTGCTTCAAATAATTCTGGTCTTTCACTTGATGCTTCTCTCTTCGGACCTCCTTTACTTACTAACTTCCACCCACCGCCCTCATCCCTACCCCCCCTTTCCCATAGCCATAGGCCACTACACAACTTCCTTACACTATTTTACTAACACCAACCATCAGAGAAAACATTGATAAATAAATATAGATAACCCAGATAACTGAATGAGAGCCACCACTGATCACCCAACCGTGTCTGTGTGTCGGTATGCTGCTGTAGGTTTAGTTTTCTGAGAGCGCGTTCCACAAGTCACTCAGTCCGAATGAGGGGGGCGTGTTGTGGGGCGGAAGTGACGTAAACGCATACCCTCTATTAGTCAGAGGTCAAAGGTCGACTGATGATCGTCCTCGTGAGTTAGTTAATACTTGAACTGAAGTTACATCATCATGAGAGAGAGAGAGTCCTACCTTCACCCACATCAGGACGGGAGAGCTGACCGTCAGTCTGTCAGCGTGAAGGTGGACACCTCCCTGAGTCCTGCACACACACACACACACACACACACACACACACACACACACACACACACACACACACACACACACACACACACACACACAACCAGCTGCTCCTTCAAAATAAAACACTTGAGCCACAGGACAGTCTCACCACAATAGAGCAGATTAATATGACACATACTGCACAGTGAGTGTGTTACCTGAACTCTGGTAGCTCGGAGTCAAACTGCACATTGTTCTGATGAACCACGTTCAGGTTCCCATCCATCGCCACCACCTTCAGCTTCACAATCAATAACAGAGAGTCATCAGCAGCTACTCACACTGTCTGTACAGTGATAATAAAGCGGTGTTATTATTGATCCCCTCAGAATAAATTCATTGACACAGCAGCAGGTCAATGGAGAGCAAAATAAAATATTACAAAATAAAACAGAAAATATCGGACTATAAAAACACTGTGCAGTATTGAAGCTGATGAATCTAACAGTTACAGATCGATACTGATATTGATATTGATACTGATGCTGATATTGATACTGATATTGATATTGATATTGATACTGATACTGATATTGATATTGATATTGATGCTGATACTTCTGATTTTGACACACAAACACAATAAAGGAACTATATATGTGAGGATGTGACCTTACACAGTTTAGGTTCCACATTTGAGATGTTTATGTGTCCAACTGTAGTTTAATATTAATATTATTAACTCTCAGCTGTTAACACAAAGATATAATACATATCTAATAGAAAGTTTAAAATGGACGACGGTGTTTTATTACTCAGTGTTTGCGACTGAAGAAACTCCAAAGTCCGTCCACCTCTCTCTCTGTCTCTCTCTCTCTCTCTCTCTCTCTCTCTCTCTCTCTCTCTCTGTCTCTCTCTCTGTGTCTCTCTCTCTCTCTCTCTCTCTCTCTCTCTCTCTGTGTCTCTCTCTCTCTCTCTCTCTCTGTGTCTCTCTCTCTCTCTGTCTCTCTCTCTCTCTCTCTCTCTCTCTCTCTCTCTCTCTCTCTCTCTCTCTCTCTCTCTCTCTCTCTCTCTCTGTCTCTCTCTCTCTCTCTCTCTCTCTCTCTCTCTCTCTCTCTCTCTCTGTCTCTCTCTCTCTCTCTCTGTCTCTCTCTCTCTCTCTCTGTCTCTCTCTCTGTCTCTCTCTCTCTCTCTCTCTCTCTCTCTCTCTCTCTCTCTCTCTGTGTCTCTCTCTCTCTCTCTGTCTCTCTCTCCCTGTGTCTCTCTCTCTCTCTCTCTCTGTCTCTCTCTCTCTCTCTCTCTGTCTCTCTCTCTGTGTCTCTCTCTCTCTCTCTCTCTCTCTCTCTCTCTCTCTCTCTCTGTCTCTCTCTCTCCCTGTGTGTCTCTCTCTCTCTCCCTGTGCTCTCTCTCTCTCTCTCTCTCTGTCTCTCTCTCTCTCTCTCTCTCTCTCTCTCTCTCTCTCTCTCTCTCTCTTCCGCATCTGCGCAGTAACCGCTGTGTTCCGCCTGCACGCGGAGCCACGCGCGTGCTCCACGTCAGCCCGTGCGCCGTGCAGGTGAGCAGGAAGTAAATAAAGAGTTGTTACCTGCTGCGTGCTGAAGTCAAAGCCCAGGTAGAGAGGAGAGTGAACGGCGGCCGCCATCTTCCTCCTCCTCTTCCCCCTCTTCCTAACAAACAGAGAGAGGAAGGCTCAGTATTTAAAGAGACAGTCACACTCTCTCACTCACGGTAATCAATAAACTACTGATCAATGATTGACACACACTGCGCACACTGAATGACTCATCGTTTTTTACTTCAAGTCACTATGTGCTGACTCACACAATCAGCTAATATTTAACAGTTTCATAATATAGAATATTATGTGATTATAATAAAATAATATAATCAATATAATATAGAATATAATGTGATTATATTATAATAATAATATAATAATTAATATAATAAATATAATATAATGTAATTATAATAAAATAATAGAATAATTAATAGAATATAGAATATAATGTGATTATATTATAATAATATAATAATTAATTTAATATAGAATATAATGTGATTATAATATAATAATATAATAATTAATATAATATAGAATATAATGTGATTATAATATAATAATTAATATAATATAGAATATAATGTGATTATAATAAAATAATATAATATAGAATATAATATAGACTATAATGTGATTATATTATAATAATATAATAATTAATTTAATATAGAATATAATGTGATTATAATATAATAATATAATAATTAATATAATATAGAATATAATGTGATTATAATATAATAATATAATATAGAATATAATGTGATTATAATACAATAATATAATATAATAATATATATAATAATATAGAATACATTTAAGGTCAAGAAGTCAAATGAGAAACTGGTTTGAATGGAAAATAAACTAATGTGTACTGCGTGTAGTGTGTGTGTGTACTGTGTGTAGTGTGTGTACTGTGATTACTGTGTGTAGGTCAGTGTCACCTCCCAGTTTAATCTCCCACTCAGTGTATAATGTCAGAATAATAATGGCCGCTGTTTGTTCTTCAGAAAGGTCACTGACTGCAGCACATTGTCCTTCACTGTTTACACACCAATCACAGTCAGAGCACAGTGAGTGTGTGTGTGTGTGTGTGTGTGTTTCCATCAATCCAGCTTCCTACCTGACAAGGTAACACAGCAGGAACACGTCCACTACATCCCTCCTCCTCGTCCTCCTTCCACTCCTCCTCTAACCTCTCTGTTTCAGCAGGTTTCACCGGATCTGGATCCATTACTGTGGATTTAAGGAGGTTTTAGTTTGTCCGGGTTTTAAACGCACCGTGATTCCGCGTGCTGCAGGCGGCAAGCAGCGGTTGTACTGACACCTGCAGCAGGTGTTGATGCCAACAGGATGTCCTGCTCCTGCTGCTGCTGTGTGACTCCCAGTGGGGAGCTGCTGGAGGGTAAAACTAACACACACTAACTAACACACACTGACTAACACACTAACTAACACACACTGACTAACACACACTGACCAACACACTGACTAACACACTAACTAACACACACTGACTAACACACTAACTAACACACACTGACCAACACACTGACTAACACACTAACTAACACACACTGACTAACACACTAACTAGCACACACTAACTAACACACACTGACCAACACACTAACTAACACACACTGACTAACACACTAACTAACACACACTGACCAACACACTAACTAACACACACTGACTAACACACTAACTAACACACACTGACCAACACACTAACTAACACACACTGACTAACACACTAACTAACACACACTGACTAACACACTAACTAACACACACTGACCAACACACTAACTAACACACACTAACTAACACACACTGACTAACACACTAACTAACACACACTGACTAACACACTAACTAGCACACACTAACTAACACACACTGACTAACACACTAACTAACACATACTGACTAACACACTAACTAGCACACACTAACTAACACACACTGACTAACACAATAACTAACACACACTGACTAACACACTAACTAGCACACACTAACTAACACACACTGACCAACACTAACTAACACACACTGACTAACACACTAACTAACACACACTGACTAACACACTAACTAGCACACACTGACTAACACACTAACTAACACACACTGACTAACACACTAACTAACACACACTAACACACACTGACTAACACACACTAACTAACACACACTAACTAACACACACTGACTAACACACACTGACTAACACACACTAACTAACACACACTGACTAACACACAATGACTAACACACACTGACTAACACACACTGACTAACACACTAACTAACACATACTGACTAACACACTAACTAACACACACTGACTAACACACTAACTAACACACACTAACACACACTGACAAACACACTAACACACACTGACTAACACACACTGACTAACACATACTGACTAACACACTAACTAACACACACTGACTAACACACTAACTAACACACACTGACTAACACACTAACTAACACACACTAACACACACTGACTAACACACTAACTAACACACACTGACTAACACACTAACTAACACACACTGACTAACACACACTAACTAACACACTAACTAACACACACTGACTAACACACTAACTAACACACACTGACTAACACACACTGACTAACACACTAACTAACACACTAACTAACACACACTGACTAACACACACTGACTAACACACACTAACACACACTGACTAACACACACTGACTAACACACACTGACTAACACACTAACTAACACACACTGACTAACACACTAACTAACACACACTAACTAACACACACTGACTAACACACTAACTAACACACACTAACTAACACACACTGACTAACACACACTGACTAACACACTAACTAACACACACTAACACAATAACTAACACACTAACTAACACACACTGACTAACACACTAACACACACTGACTAACACACTAACTAACACACACTAACACAATAACTAACACACTGACTAACACACTAACTAACACACACTAACTAACACACACTGACTAACACAATAACTAACACACACTAATTAACACAATAACTAACACACACTGACTAACACAATAACTAACACACACTAACTAACACACACTAACACAATAACTAACACACAATAACTAACACACACTAACTAACACAATAACTAACACACACTAACTAACACACAATAACTAACACACACTAACACACTGACTAACACAATAACTAACACACACTAACTAACACACAATAACTAACACACACTAACACACTGACTAACACAATAACTAACACACACTAACTAACACACACTAATTAACACAATAACTAACACACACTAACTAACACAATAACTAACACACACTGACTAACACACACTAACTAACACACACTGACTAACACACACTAACTAACACACACTAACAAACACACACTAACTAACACACACTAACACACACTAACACAAGTTAGTTCATACAATATTAGTAACAATTCTACTAACAATAATAATAACAACAACAATAATAATAATAATAAATATTCATATTAATAATTATTAATAATGAATAACAATTATTATTATTATTAATAATAATAAATAACAATAATAGTGATACTACTACCAATAATATTATTAATATTAATAATAATAATAATATTGATAATATTAATAATAATATTAATAATAATATTAATAATATTAATAATTATGCATAATGAATAACAATTAATAATATTGATAATAATATTAATAATATTAATAATTATGCATAATGAATAACAATTAATAATAATAATAATAAACGGTAATATTAATAATTATGCATAATGAATAACAATTAATAATAATAATAATAATGATAATATTAATAATAATATTAATAATAAACGGTAATATTAATAATTATGCATAATGAATAACAATTAATAATAATAATAATAATAATAATGATAATATTAATAATAATATTAATATTAATAATATTAATAATAAACGATAATATTAATAATTATGCATAATGAATAACAATTAATAATAATAATAATAATAATGATAATATCAATAATAATATTAATATTAATAATATTAATAATAAACGGTAATATTAATATTATGCATAATGAATAACAATTAATAATAATAATATTGATAATATTAATAATAATATTAATATTAATAATATTAATAATAAACGATAACATTAATAATAATGCATAATGAATAACAATTATTATTATTAATAATAATAATAATAATGGTAATATTAATATTAATATTAATATTAATATTAATAATAATGATAATATTAATAATAATATTAATATTAATAATATTAATAATAAACTGTAATATTAATAATTATGCATAATGAATAACAATTATTAATAATAATAATAATAATAATAGTAAAATGTCCCCGGTAATGACACATTAAAAGCAGCTGTGTCTGCAGGTCAAAGGTCACTATGTGTCCGCGTGTCTCCTGCAGGGATCAGGAAGAAGGAGCGGCTGGTGAGAGAGGAAGAGGAGGAGGAGGAGGAGGAAGAGGAGGAGGAGAGCAGGAGGAACATGGAGCTGTCTCTGCTCAGGGAGCAGTACAGGAGCAGCAGAGAGAGCCAGAGGAGACACACTCAGGTGCTTCTGTACAGGACAGGTGAGTCTGTTCACCTGTCTGTTCACCTGTCTGTTTACCTGTCTGTTCTCCTGTCTGTTCACCTGACTGTTCACCTGTCTGTCTGTTCACCTGTCTGTTCACCTGTCTGTTCACCTGTCTGTTCTCCCGTCTGTCTGTTCACCTGTCTGTTTACCTGTCTGTTCACCTGTCTGTTCTCCCGTCTGTCTGTTCACCTGTCTGTTCACCTGTCTGTTTACCTGTCTGTTCACCCGTCTGTTCTCCCCGTCTGTCTGTTCACCTGTCTGTTCACCTGTCTGTTTACCTGTCTGTTCACCCGTCTGTTCTCCTGTCTGTTCACCCGTCTGTCTGTTCACCTGTCTGTTCACCCGTCTGTCTGTTCACCTGTCTGTTTACCCGTCTGTTCACCTGTCTGTTCACCCGTCTGTCTGTTCACCCGTCTGTCTGTTTACCTGTCTGTTCACCCGTCTGTTCACCCGTCTGTCTGTTCACCTGTCTGTTCACCTGTCTGTTCACCTGTCTGTTCACCTGTCTGTTCACCTGTCTGTTCACCTGTCTGTTTACCTGTCTGTTCACCCGTCTGTCTGTTCACCTGTCTGTTTACCTGTCTGTTCACCTGTCTGTTCACCTGTCTGTTTACCTGCCGCTCGTGTCGATTTTATTTATTTATTTCTCCGTTCAGGAAGAGAGCGGATATACAACCACAACTTCCGGTTCCAGATTTCAAAATAAATCCGTGATGAAGTTAATAATAATAATAATAATAATAATACATTTTATTTAAAGGCGCCTCTCTGGGCACTCGAGGAACACCGTACAAGACATTAAAAAAACACAGTAAGAAATAAGAACCAGACAGTAAAAGACAACGTAGAGAGTTAAGTGGGGTAAGCAGTTATAGTAAACAGTACTAGGTGAGTTTTTACTGTTGATCTGAAGAGGGGGAGAGAGTCCAGGCTCCTGAGTGGGGGGGCAGAGCGGCTGAAAGCCCTGCTCCCCATGCTGACGAGGCGGGCGGGAGGGGCAGAGAGGTGGACAGAGGAGGCAGATCTGAGGGAATGGGAAGGGGTGGCGATGTGGAGGAGTTGGGACAGATAAGGAGGGGAGAGGTTGTGGATGGCCTTGAACGTAAACAGGAGGATTTTGAAGTTAATGTGGAGTTTGACCGGGAGCCAGTGGAGTTGCTGCAGAACAGGGGTGATGTGGTGGATGGACCGGGTTCTGGTGATGATCAGAGCTGCAGAGTTCTGAACCAGTTGAAGTTTATGGAGGTATTTGTGAGGTAGACCGAAGAGAAGGGAGTTGCAGTAGTCGATGCAGGAGGTGACGAGGCTGTGTACAAGGATGGCAGTGGAGTGGGGAGAAAGGGAGGGGCGGAGTCGATTAATATTACGTAGGTGGAAATATGCAGACCGGGTGATGTTATTGATATGGGATTGGAAAGATAATGTGCTGTCGAGGTTAAAGTAGTTAAAGTATTAAAGTATTAAAGTATTAAAGTATTAAAGTAGTTAAAGTATTAAAGTATTAAAGTAGTTAAAGTATTAAAGTATAAAAGTATTAAAGTAGTTAAAGTATTAAAGTATTAAAGTAGTTAAAGTATTAAAGTATTAAAGTATTAAAGTAGTTAAAGTAGTTAAAGTATTACAGTATTAAAGTATTAAAGTATTATAGTCGTTAAAGTAGTTAAAGTAGTTAAAGTAGTTAAAGTATTAAAGTAGTTAAAGTATTAAAGTAGTTAAAGTATTAAAGTAGTTAAAGTATTAAAGTATTAAAGTATTAAAGTAGTTAAAGTATTAAAGTAGTTAAAGTAGTTAAAGTATTAAAGTAGTTAAAGTATTAAAGTATTAAAGTAGTTAAAGTATTAAAGTATTAAAGTAGTTAAAGTATTAAAGTATTAAAGTATTAAAGTAGTTAAAGTATTAAAGTAGTTAAAGTAGTTAAAGTATTAAAGTAGTTAAAGTATTAAAGTATTAAAGTAGTTAAAGTATTAAAGTATTAAAGTAGTTAAAGTAGTTAAAGTATTAAAGTATTAAAGTAGTTAAAGTAGTTAAAGTATTAAAGTAGTTAAAGTATTAAAGTATTAAAGTAGTTAAAGTATTAAAGTAGTTAAAGTAGTTAAAGTATTAAAGTATTAAAGTAGTTAAAGTATTAAAGTATTTAAAGTAGTTAAAGTATTAAAGTATTAAAGTAGTTAAAGTAGTTAAAGTAGTTAAAGTATTAAAGTAGTTAAAGTAGTTAAAGTATTAAAGTAGTTAAAGTATTAAAGTATTAAAGTAGTTAAAGTATTACAGTATTAAAGTATTAAAGTAGTTAAAGTATTACAGTATTAAAGTGTTAAAGTAGTTAAAGTATTAAAGTATTAAAGTAGTTAAAGTATTAAAGTAGTTAAAGTATTAAAGTAGTTAAAGTATTACAGTATTAAAGTATTAAAGTAGTTAAAGTATTATAGTAGTTAAAGTAGTTAAAGTATTAAAGTAGTTAAAGTAGTTAAAGTAGTTAAAGTATTAAAGTATTATAGTCGTTAAAGTAGTTAAAGTAGTTAAAGTAGTTAAAGTATTAAAGTAGTTAAAGTATTAAAGTATTAAAGTAGTTAAAGTATTAAAGTAGTTAAAGTATTAAAGTATTAAAGTATTAAAGTAGTTAAAGTATTAAAGTAGTTAAAGTATTAAAGTATTAAAGTAGTTAAAGTAGTTAAAGTATTAAAGTAGTTAAAGTATTAAAGTAGTTAAAGTAGTTAAAGTATTAAAGTATTAAAGTAGTTAAAGTATTACAGTATTAAAGTATTAAAGTAGTTAAAGTATTACAGTATTAAAGTGTTAAAGTAGTTAAAGTATTAAAGTATTAAAGTAGTTAAAGTATTAAAGTATTAAAGTATTAAAGTAGTTAAAGTATTACAGTATTAAAGTGTTAAAGTAGTTAAAGTATTATAGTCGTTAAAGTAGTTAAAGTAGTTAAAGTATTAAAGAAGTTAAAGTATTAAAGTATTAAAGTAGTTAAAGTATTAAAGTAGTTAAAGTATTAAAGTAGTTAAAGTATTACAGTATTAAAGTATTAAAGTAGTTAAAGTATTATAGTAGTTAAAGTAGTTAAAGTTTTAAAGTAGTTAAAGTATTACAGTATTAAAGTATTAAAGTATTATAGTCGTTAAAGTAGTTAAAGTAGTTAAAGTAGTTAAAGTATTAAAGTAGTTAAAGTATTAAAGTATTAAAGTAGTTAAAGTATTAAAGTAGTTAAAGTATTACAGTATTAAAGTATTAAAGTATTATAGTCGTTAAAGTAGTTAAAGTAGTTAAAGTAGTTAAAGTATTAAAGTAGCTAAAGTATTAAAGTATTAAAGTAGTTAAAGTATTAAAGTAGTTAAAGTATTACAGTATTAAAGTATTAAAGTAGTTAAAGTATTATAGTAGTTAAAGTAGTTAAAGTATTAAAGTAGTTAAAGTATTAAAGTATTAAAGTAGTTAAAGTATTAAAGTAGTTAAAGTATTACAGTATTAAAGTATTAAAGTATTATAGTCGTTAAAGTAGTTAAAGTAGTTAAAGTAGTTAAAGTATTAAAGTAGTTAAAGTATTAAAGTAGTTAAAGTATTAAAGTAGTTAAAGTATTACAGTATTAAAGTATTAAAGTAGTTAAAGTATTATAGTAGTTAAAGTAGTTAAAGTATTAAAGTAGTTAAAGTATTAAAGTATTAAAGTAGTTAAAGTATTAAAGTATTAAAGTAGTTAAAGTATTAAAGTATTAAAGTATTACAGTATTAAAGTAGTTAAAGTATTAAAGTATTAAAGTATTAAAGTATTAAAGTATTACAGTATTAAAGTAGTTAAAGTATTAAAGTAGTTAAAGTATTACAGTATTCTCAGTATAAGTACACAGTATTGGTATTTTTTCCTCTCCAGTCTCGGAGGAACTGTCGGACACCGTCAGCATCATCCCCGTCTCTCAGGGTTTGACGTCGCCGTGGAAACCGAGCAGCAGCTCGCCACAGGCCACAACCTTCAACCCTAACCTTGCAACCTACGACCCCTGGCACGTCCACCTGAGCCTCCACCGACGCTGCTGTCCCGGGCGCCCGGTGCCGCTCACAGCTTCATCCCCAGAAACAACAAACAGCAACAGATCCTTGGGGTCAGTCACTGCGGTTATTGATCCATCGCTTTGATTGATTAATGATCCTGATCAGACAGCGTCAGTAATCATTTACATGGACTTTATTTTCCAGATGTTCTTCGTCGTCCACTGAAGACCTGGACTCAGCCAGCAGCTCCAGAGAAACGTCCCCCTGCAGCTCCTTCAGCCCCAAAGACCACTTCAGGTCCAGAGGAGGCCCAGATACTGGATCCTCTGACCGGTCCAGAGGAGGCCCAGATACTGGATCCTCTGACCGGTCCAGAGGAGGCCGCGATACTGGATCCTGTGACAGGTCCAGAGGAGGCCCAGATACTGGATCCTCTGACCGGTTCAGAGGAGGCCCAGATACTGGATCCTGTGACAGGTCCAGAGGAGGCCCAGATACTGGATCCTCTGACCGGTTCAGAGGAGACCCAGATACTGGATCCTGTGACCGGTCCAGAGGAGGCCCCAGTGGTTCTCTGGAGGGTTCAGCCTCCCGCACCAGCTCTGATGAAAGCTCCACCCCCGTCGCCTCCATCACCTGCTCCCCCAGCGGCTCCACCAGCAGCCTGAACCAGCCTGCAGGTGGGTGTAACGGCGTCCTGCAGAGCGGTGGCACCTCCTCGCCGTGGGGGGGCGGGAGCAGGAAGTTCTCGGCCCCGGTCCTCAGGTTCACCAGGCAGCTGAGCGTAGGCGGGCTGGGCTCCTCCGCGGGGGTCCACCAGAGCCAGAACTACCACCCGTTCCCCAACAGGAAGACCCCGAGGATCTCTGAGGCTGCCAAGAGGCTGGGGATGTACTCGTCCTTCTGACTGTATTAGTGAACCTGCGACTCTGTACGGGAGCCACAAAGTGTTCAAATTAAATAAACAAATAAACGTAATCTTCTTCTTTTATTCGTTTTATTTCAGAATATAACTTTGAGAACTTTCTCAACAGTCTGCTTCAGTTCATGATGCTGTTTTTTCCCACTGACACTTTTTATTTAGCAGCGTCCTCATGAAACAGGCAGCAAGAGAGTTGTTTGCTTCCTCATGTAAGTGTTTCCTAATAACGTTCATATTCCAGCAGCTGGGCAACATAAAATCCAGTAAAATAACAGGAAATATCTGACTTTTAAAAATACAGTAATTTTCTTTAATTCACATTTCTTTTTAATTTTTTTTGGTCTTTTATTGCCTTTATTGATAGTGACAGCCGAGGATGGACGGGGGGGTGGGCAGAGAGGGGGGATGACACGCAGCGAGGGGCCGCAGGTCAGATTTGAACCCGGGCCACTGCAGCAACTCCGTACATGGGGCTCCAGCTCTACCGACAGAGCGAACCGGGCGCCCGTCTTTTTAATGTTTAATTTAAGATATTTGACACTGTAAAAACAGGGAAATTAACGCTGCTATTATTCAAATAATCAGACTTACATTTACAGGAATACATTATTTCAAATGAGCCCAGTTTTAAAACTGTGGCCGATCATACATAAAATATAATTAATATATTTACACAATTTATTTTGTTTTGTTTTATTTATTTTTTGTTCTATTTTGTTTCATATTATTTTACTTTTTATTGTGTTTATTCTTTGATTTTATTCAGTTTTATTTTGTATATATTGATTTATTGTGTTTATATATTGTTTTATTTTATTACATGTTATTGTTTTTATTTTTATTTTCTTTGTTTTGTTCTATTTAGTTTAGTTTCATTTTGTTAAATAGAATATTTTTATTTTTATAATTTATTATGATTATTTCTTAATGATTATATAAATTGTAATTGTTTTTATTTTACTTTCGGTTGTCTCTTCCTTATTAACGTTACAGTCATATAAAACGCAGTGTGACTTTTGTCCCTCTCACGGTGCCGTAGTAGATCAAAGATCGTGTATTCTCGCGAGAACAGGTCTCCCGGCTGACACGAGCCCGCCGCGCTATTGGCTGGATTCGGTCTGACGTCATTACGTCCTCGGGATCCTGGAACGTGCTCGGAGTGAGACCTCCTCCTCAGAAACAACACTCACAAACAGCGTCGTTACCGGAGGAAGTGGACGGTTAACGGGGATCTAACGGACATTTCTGACCGCGGGGCTGTGTGTCATCGTGTCCTGTGACATCAAGGTAACCGACAGACAGATTTATCAGCGACTGACGGCGGAGTTTGAGGAGAAAAACGGAGAAAGAAGCCGCGAAAACACAAAGAGTAACGTCGGCTAACAGCTAACTAGTTTGTTAGCCGCGTGAATAAACTGCGTCACTGGCAGTATAATAATAATAATAATAATAATAATGATAATAATAAAGATATAAAGAGTTATAACTGACATCATTCAATGTGTTCACTGCTTTACGTTAAAGCTGTTTGAACTTTAGCTGTTAATAAAGTTTTTATTTCTGTCTGAATATATTAAACTCAGATTAAAATAAATAATGGTCAAACTCTGAGTATCTGGACACTACATTTCCCATAATGCAACTGGGTAGTGGGTACTGACACTGACTCTGGTACTGACACTGGTACTGACTCTGGTACTGACTCTGACTCTG